GGTGGAATTTACGCAGCTCATTTACACACTTTTCCTGAAGATAGAAGAGTTTGTTGAATCTGACGAGACATGTTCGTACGAACCCTTTGTACAAACAAAAGTAAGAGAAATTTAGGATAAGAATACGAACATGTTCTTGCATGAGGTCCAATGATTAAATCACAAAAAAGAACCAATCAAGATAAAAATAAATCAGGAATTCCAAAAAGTAAACAAGAATCTGTATTTTTTTGCCTTCTGATTAGTAGAAAAGTGAATTGAGTGGATATATTGTGTAAATTCGATCATGAAGGAGATGAAATTTGTTTTTATCTTTAAACGTTTGCTTTTATGTAAATTAAATTTGGCCTGAATGATTAAAAGATTAATAACAAATTCCTTTGAAGTCAATTTTGTATTTTGTTGAAAGCCAAACAGAACATGTTTCCAGAATAAATGAAAGTTTTGAAATATTTTCGAGTCAATATCATGACAAAATTGTTGCCAGAATAGTTTGGAGTGTGGACAGAACCAAAACAAATGTGTAACAGATTCAGGAGACCTTTAAATGCAGTAATGTCTCTGGTGTGTTTGATTGTTTTTTTTCAGTGAATCTGTTAAAAAATGAGTAAGAGGAAAGGTAAAGTGGTCTGTGATGAGACCGCTCTGAAGCTCTGCCGACTGACAGCTGTGAGGACTGAAACTGATCCAGATGAGCAGAACCGTCAGGGTCCAACTTCAGACAGCCTCTCTCACTCTGTTTCAGTCAGTAGATGTTTGCAAACCTCATATCTTTTGTCTTTACATCCTGTCAGCTCTGGTTGAATTTCCCCTCTCTGCTGGTTCCTTCAGGGAGACATTGGATTCATTGAGAGCATAACTCTGAAAAACTTTATGTGCCACCATTCTCTGGGTCCGTTCCAGTTTGGACCCAATGTGAACTTCATCGTAGGCAACAATGGAAGTGAGTAACTTTAAATCTGCCCTCATCCTGATCTGCTGTTAACCTTGAATGGAGTGTTTGAGTCCTGGAGCCTTGAAATGTTACTGGTTTATTAGTGGTGCAACAATACATGTACAGTATCTGTATCGAACCGTTCAATACAGGGATTTAGGATCAATACACACTTGTATGGAACAAAACAGATTTTTAACATTTATTTTATCAGCTTGTTTTAAAACTTAAAGGGATCCATGATTAGTTGTAACATTAGACTTTATTTAATAAAAATATATTTTAATGGTAAAATAAAGACTAAAAATACTGTAGGATGTTTTAGTTTTTATCATTTTTAAACTAAAAGTTTAAAAATATATTTTAACACGAACGGGGCCATTTTATTTCCACACAAAGCATTCTGGGTAAATGATGACGTGGATAGGTCCTCGGTGCGAGGCTGCTAGCGAGCTATATCC